GTATGAGTGGCCTGACCTTGGTGTATCTGGAAGTAGGAGCTTAGATGCCTCTTCAGAGCCAGCCCTCATGGGGGGCAGTCAGTGAAGGTAACTGGGAGAGGGGACTGTGGTGCCAGGAGCAGCCTACCTGCCTCGTCTGCCTCTTCACCTTTGTGTGCCTCTGTTTCATCAACCTTAAGTATTTTAATGATTCATCTTCTCCCTAGTTCCCAAGCTGTGGAGAACTTCAAATGAAGAAATATGAGACTCTTAGGAAAGTAAAAAATTTCTATAAAACATAAGATTTTTTTCCCCCTAAATTGTTATGTGCCAGGCATGACTCATTGTTTATGCCATATTCCTTACTAGAATGTAAGCTTTATAAGGGCAAGAATTTCCCTCCCTCCCACTTGTTTTTTCCTCCAGGACTGAAAGTGGTGCCTGCTAGCTTGGAGTAGTTCAGTGAACCTTTTGTCAGATGGAATGATTGATAGAGAGGCTCTCAGAGCTCATGCAAGCCTTCTTATTCATGGTGGTTGTTGGAAGTAGATGAGGCAGTTGGAGAATTGGGAAGGATTTAATGTGCTTCCTTACTGAGGTGCACAGACCCTTCGATTTACATGGACTTTTCACAAGTTGGAAGCTTCCTGAAATTGAAGGTGCTCAGAAGCATGCTGTACTTAACAGACACTCTGAGTCAGTGTGGCTTGCAGTTCCTATGTAGTTCTTTGCTGAGTGGGTTTCACCATCAGGGATCTGCAAACGTGGAGCCCATTTGGTAGTCTCTCCCAGGGCGGGGTACGCTTCGATAGGGGCACTCAGGCCAAGGGCCTTGCGGGTGGTCAGTCACCGATGGAGCACTTCTTGTTCCTGAAGTTCTCATTACCTGCCAGGGCAGTGTGATGTTGGCAAATCCCTTACCTTCCCTGACATGGGGAGTGTTGCTGAGCTGCACTGTTTTTCTTCTGCAGTTTGGCACACTGACCACCAGCTTGAGGTGGAACGTCGTAGCTCGTTTCCAGCAGAGCCGTTGAGAGTGTGGGCACAGTGTGGTTTCTCATTGTCATCTCAGATGTAGACCTCTTTGACTTCACCCACCAAAACCTGGAACTGTTTTTAAATAGAATTTTGCTGGGTAACTGAACACACCACTGGACTGATTCCCTAAGGAGTGTGACTCTGTGATTGATTTACAGAATTTTGACAGAAGTAGAAATAATTCTTGCAAACTACATAAGTACCCAGTTCTCTCCCATATATGGAGTTACCTCATTCTGTCAGCTATTTTAAGCAACTTTCAGAATGGGTAATGGAAAACTTTTTCTTGACTACATTACTGTATATGGATTTTAATTAAAAGTAAAGTTGTATTGCTCCTTCTGACTATGACAGGAGTTAAGAGCAGATTCCCATCTGCAGAACTGCATGTTGCCTGGTGCAGTGTGGCAGCAGGTTGGTGCAGTGCAGGTCATTTTTAGGCACATACTTGGATTCTGAGGTGTTGTAAGAGCTTTTATCCCTAAGATAGGTTCTCACAGCTGACTGTTCTGGAGTTTATTCTTTCTCTGTCACTTGTAAAATTCTGTCCCTTGAAGCTCACAGCTGGACTGGGACACATTCATGCATGCTGATGAAATGGACTGGTGGCATTACCACAGTGCTCTGTCTGCTGGGCTGGGAAGGCCCAGGGAGGTCTGGGCTTTTCATTAACTACAACTTTGATTAACTACAGCTTGTTTTACTGTACAGTGCAATTTTTTGGACTTGGTTTTAGAATCAGGTCGAGCTCCCATGTCTGGGTTGTTATTAAACATGTTTTAAAATTTAGACCGCTTTGATAAATCTGAACACAGGTGCCTCTTTGCCATATCACGTCTATAAGGTATAGTTGGAAACATGACCTTTGGCCCAAATTCTGTGCTTGCTGCTTTCACTCACTTTGTTACTCTGGGAAATCCTAACCTCCTCTGGGTCTAAGGTCTTCTCATCTTTATGTAGGATATTAATTGTTTTGTGGAATTACTGTGAAGATGCTTAATTCAGCATTCAGTGCATAGTCAGAGCTCGATGAAACTTCAGCTCTTGTTTTTCATCCAAATGCTAGCTCTTACCCATGGACCATGGCTGTCTGGGTCAAAGGAAGACAGTGGAGGTGGATCTTCCCATTCAATTTCAGGAGTAAGAGGTGTGCTGAAGAGTTCCATGAGGTGTCTTGCTGGGGTCAGGAGAGTGAAGTGCTGAAGCCCTGGCTGAGGACAGAGCTGCTGGGGTGGGGGTGAACAGGTCATGAATTGCAGCTTCTTGTACCTTCTCCTGTCCTCTTCATGAGATGTAGACATGGTCAGCTTTCAGCACTGAGAAGAATGTGAAGTGGATGATGAGGACCAGGGAGCCAAGTGGAAGTTCCAGTGTGAGACGTGTGGTCCCAGTGGGGAGGTGCTCCAGCAGTCAGAACATGACTGTAGATACAGGTGATGTAGCCTTACCTGAGCTTCTGTTTTTGTGTTACATTTAAACTTTCAGGCTACATCAGAGAAGATCAGTAGTGTTGGGAGAAGCAACCTCCGAGTACAGGTCTCTGCTGTTCACACTGTCTGAAGGAATGCTTACTCTCTCCAGATGTGTTTTTGCCAGTGTCCAGTAAAACAGATTAAACTGTGGAAGGTTTATGCTGGGGGTTCCCTAATTTGAAGGAGGATTTAAACTCTGCCTCACAGTTAGGTTGGGGTCATTTGGAAGCTGCACCAAGATGTCCTGGCACTGTGAGAAGCCAGGCAGTGTTGGTCGTCAGGTTGGGGTCATTCGGTGCCTCTCTGTCCTTCTAGGTTGTCATCAGGGGAGGTGACACCAAGATTCCCAGTCGGGGGCGGGTGTCCTGGGACAGATCCCAGGTAGACTAGGTCCAGGGTCCCTCTTGGCTTGTGAGAGTTTCCTGGTTCTCCAGGTCTCATTCAGGCTCTCCCACCTTCTGTGTTCTTCCTTCCTTCCCCCCCCCACTCCCCCGCCAAGCCATGTGTGCAGCATCAGGGGACTCAGATTTGAGTCCCATCTCACTGCTTTCCCCTCATTCTTCCACTTTAAGGTGAAGAGTGGCATGGTGAAAAGCTACTAGAGTTCATCAAGGGCATCAGGGATGCTTTATGGTAAGGAGGAAGACCCAGCAAGGCAAAGGGGAAGGCCAGCAGGCAGACACCACTTCTAGAAACTGGGAGGAGAGTCCTGTTGCTTCGGCCATCTCTGCCTGTGACCTGGGAAATTGAGCATTTGCTCTGCCTGGGCATTGGGTGCTGTCCTTGTGTTGTTAAACTAGACTATTTTCTCATCAAGTAGACATTCAGAGACACTTAGAAAAACACCTTTATGTTTCTTGTTAAATCAAAACACACAACAACTTCGTCAGTCGATGCCTCGCACAGTGTCAAACTGCTAAAAAGCTAGCAAATGTTACACCTAAAATTTTTGTGGGGGAGGTAAAGGTGGGGGGTGTGGAGGAGAGTATAAAAATAAATCTTTTAGAGAATCTGGGTTGCTTGGTGGCATGTGTATTTTTCCATGGTGGAGGAGGTTAGAAATAGCATTACTTTTTATGGGTTTCTCAGCAGCAGCTCAAAGATTTGGCTTTGTGGGCTTGGTCTGTGTGTGTGGGTGAGGCGGCTCCAGCAGCCTGCAGGGTAGAGGCAGTGCCTGTCTGTCTGCACCCCCCACCAACCCGCCTGCCTGCGCCCCCTCCCACCTCCCCCTACAGCTATCACCCGGATGAACAGTGCCCATGTGTGAATGTGATCTCCAAGGTTAGGCTATTGTGGGGACGTGCCTGTGGCAGCAGATGCCGCTGGAGCAGATGGAGCCTCAGCGGTTCCACAGAGTCACACGGGTGCGTGTGTGAGGGTAGGTGCCAGGCGTGGGTGCTGTGATCTGGGAGACATCCTCTGGAGGTGCTGTGTGTCTGCTGGCTGGACCTCCTGGTCCCTGTGAGCTGGCCTCTCCTTTGAGTCTTTTTTTTTTTTTTTTCTTTTTTTAGGTCCCAGGCTTTCCTTTGAGTCTTAATCTCAGCGGGGTGGGGAGGCCACTCCTTCAGAAGGGGCCCTCAGGGATTTTTGAAATTTGTTAGTTATGTAATTCTTACAGATGGAGGTGGGTCTCCCAGTGTTTCTCAGGTTCAATGTAGGAAGGAAATGGAAAGAGGTAGCCACTGGGACACAGATTTTTAACTCCAGGGGACCCAGGAATTTGAGTTCTTTGAAATTGTGCCTGTTATTGTAGAGAAGGCCAGGGCTTTGATGGGATTCTCAGTAAGATTTTGATCTCCGTAAAGGTGAGGTAAAGTTCAGTTAACTTGGGAAAGTCATTTTGGAAATGTAGTGAGTGTTGGGAGAGGAGGTGTTGGCAGGATGTCCGCTTATAAGTTATGTGGCAACACAAGAGGGGACCCGCATCTGCTGGGGTTTTTCTTTGTGGGCTTTTTTCTTGAACTTTCTGTAACATTGTATTGGGAGTGGTTCCTGCCAAAGGCCAGTTGCCAGTGCTTGGTTACCTTTGCAAGCTTGGCACTTGGGAGGGGGCCTGGCTGCTTGCACATTTTTGGGGGTCTCTGTGACTTCATCCTGACATTAAAAAAAAGCACAAAAAACTTTTACTGATTTTTTTTCCCTTTCTTGGCTGTGCTAGATCTTTGCTGCTGCACGTGGGCTTTCTCTAGTTGCAGTGGGCAGGGACTACTCTCTAGTTGCAGTGTGTGGGCTTTTCATTGTGCTGGCTTCTCTTGTGGACCACATGCAGGCTTCAGTAGCTCTGGAGCATGGGCTCAGTAGTTGTGGCACACAGGCTTAGTTGCCCCTTGGCATCTGGGATCTTCCCGAACCAGGGATTGAACCTGTGTTCCCTGCGTTGCAAGGTGGATTCTTAACCACTGGACTACCAGGGAAGCCCCTCAGTCCGACATTTAATCAGTTTTCCCCTCTTTCGCTGGGTCTGTTGTACCATGTTCTCTACAGTTTTTCTGGAGACTCTCGGGTGTGATTATGATAGGCCAGCAGCTGTCAGAGGGCATGGCGGAAACCTTCGGCGACAGGTACTTCACCTGCACTTCCACTGCTCGCCATAGCTTTGGCACTGCTCAGAGGTTCCCGCTTCTGCATGTTCTTTCTGAGTGGCCAGTCACCTTGAGGGGACAGGATCACTGGGGAATCATGCCGATGACTTGCAAACACAAAGTGTTACAGCTGCCCTAGGACAAGGTGGGTGAGAGTGCCTCAGCCAGGATGGGAGTGGTACCCATGCTGCCTGGGCCGCACGGTCCACTGGGAGCAGAAATGTTTGTGTGGAGTCTGTGAGTGGAACTGGAGGAGCCAGGAACGTTACTTGGGCACCTCTCCTCCAGAGCAGAATGTCGGGGTGCCCTGGAGCCAGGGTGAATTAGAGCAGGCAGGACTTGTCGCAAACATGACCTGCTTCTGTGCTTACTTTTTAAAAGTTCCACAGCTGCTACCTGAGATGGAAGTTCTGTTCTGTTGTAATAGCTTACCTGAGCAGTTACATTCTGAGAATAATAATGATGTAGGCTCTCTTGAGTTCTCTGCGTGAGTTGATTCCTGATTGCCCAGGGCCGTGACTGGGCAGGCAGTTCTGCTTCCCTGGTGCCAGTCGGGCAGCTGCCATGTCCTGTCACCTCACTCCTCATCTCTTTGTACCCCTGTGGACTTTTTAAAGATAAGGGAATCTGCTCAGGTTCTTAAGTCATTTGAGAAAAGTTGTTTTAAGGGTCCGGGTGGGTATGGGAAGTATTTTTTAGTGCTTTGCAAGATATGAGAGTGCTTTCGGGTTGTCATTAAGAACTTGTTACCACTTAGTATTGTGGTATTTAAGTCAGTTACCTAATGTTTGATCTTTAGCTGGTTTTCAAACATTTCTGCTGCTCCCTTTTTTCAAAAAATATGGTAGAAAATATATAACAATTTGAAACACTGTGCACTGCTAGTGGTAATGAGAAATGGTCGTGCTGCTGGGGAAAACAGTATGTTTTAACCACTTTAAAGTGTATGGTTGAGTGGCGTTAACACATTCACATTGTTTTGCAGTTCCATCCTCAGAATTGTCTTCATCTTGAAAACCTTGAGCTTTGTTTCCATCAACCACTGACTGCTATCCCCGACCCCAGCCCCTAGCATCCAGTGTTCTGCTCTTTGGCTCTAGGAACTTGACTGCTGTAGACCTGGTACTGGTGGGATCATGGAGTATTTGTCATTTTGTGACTGGTTCACTTCACTTAGCATAGTGTTCTCAAGGCTCATGTTACTGCAAGTGTCAGAATTTCATTCCTTTTTAAGACTGAATAATATTCTATGGTATGTATAGGGCACATTTTGTTCATCTGTTTGTCGATGGGTGCTTGGGTAGCTTCCGTCTTTTGGCTGTTGGAAATAGTGCTTCTGTGACCATAAATACCTCTTCACGTCCTTGCTTTCAGTTCTTTGGGTATCCTCATTTAAAAATAAAGTCCCAAAATTATTTTTTCCAAAATTTATTTTTAAAAGCACACTCTCAATTAGATGCTATTGTTATGCAATTGCTGAGTTGTGTCCGACTTTGCGATCCTATGGACTGCAGCACTCCAGGCTTCCCTGTCCTTTGCTATCTCCTGGAATTTGCTCAAACTCATGTCCATTGAGTTGGTAAATCCATCCAACCATCTCATCCTCTGTACTTCCTTCTCTTCCTGCCCTGAATCTTTATCAGCATCAGGGTCTTTTCCAAAGAATCGGCTCTTTGCATCAGGTAGCCAAAGTATTAGAGCTTTGGTTTCAGCATCAGTCCTTCCATTGAATATTCGGGGTTGATTTCCTTTAGGATTGACTGATTTGATCTCCTTGCTGTCCAAGGAACTCTCAAGTGTCTTCTCCAGCACACAGTTCGAAGGGAATGGCAAACCACTCTAGTATTCTTGCTTCAAGAAGCCTATGAACAGTATAAAAAGGCAAAAAGACACCATTAGGAATCCAAAAGAAAGATATACTTAAGTATGGAGGTGATCTTCTTAAAATTAGCTTCCCAGGTGGCACTAGTGGTAAAGAACTCGTCTGCCAGTGCAGGAGACATAATAGACTCAGGTTTGATCCCTGGGTTGGAAAGATCCCTTGGAGGAGGGCACAGCCACCCATGCCAGTATTCTTGCCTGGAGAATCCTGTGGCCAGAGCAGCCTGGCAGGCTGCAGTCCATAGTGTTGCACAGAGTTGAACATGACTGAAGTGACTTAACACCCACAAATAAACAGAGTTGGGAGCGGTCCTTTATTATCCTATAATATTTTAGAGGTAATATCATTTAATAATGATAATATCAGCAGGCCTCTCGTACATGTTCTGAGTGAAGCGTTATTCTTTAGACAAGACTCCAGGTAGGGCCAACTTCCAGGAAAAACCCACCTGGCCTACAATTTGCTCTTGTGTTGTCAGGGCTGCTGCTAAGGGAAACTGACAAAAAATGTGAAAAAAATGGAAAAATTGCAGAATTTTCTGGTCAGACTCTTTGTTTTTCCTGAAGATTGGAAGCATGTAAAATTGTGGTCTTTTATGGGTAATAGTGCATTAAGAATTCCACGAGCTCTTTAATGATTTACAGCGATCTTGTGCAGTAGGAAGGCTTTCGTGTGGCAGTAGCAGTGCCCGCCCTCAGGAGCCTGTGTTCAGGGCAGGGGACACCCGGGCAGATCAAGGGTGATGCTCATGGTGACGTACATGGAGTTGTCTCCGTCTCGGCAGACCTGGGCTTCACAAGGGTGCAAAGATGCTCTGTCACCAAGACAGAAAGCTGCTGTTGGGAGAGGAGCAGTGGGACATGAGCAGGATGATGACCAGCTGTTGGTGATAAAGTTCATCTTGAGCCCACCTCAGAGCTCCAGCTGTGTGTTGGGCCCTCCGGGGGGCTTGGGCTCAGAGATGGCTGGGAAACAGGCCCTGCAGCACAGGGGGTCTGATGGAAGAGACCTGCAGTCATGTCCCTGGTTGCAGTCCACGTTGCTGTGTGCGCAGCATGTGCTGCCCAAGGGGCCCAGGCACAGAAGCCTGTGCACACCCCTCACGGAGATGGTGACGTGTGAAGACACGTGAAGACACACGCTGTGTGTCTGCAGGTGGACACGTGCAAGGAGAGAGCGTTCTGGGCACAGGCGGAGGCTCAGTGAGAGGCACAGCCATGAAAAGGTGAATATGCCTGGGGCTGAGGTGGCTTGGGAAGGAAGGTGAGAAACAGAAAGCTGGATAAGAAAGTGGGGGCCAGACCCCAAGTATCTAAATGTTGTGTGTAGGTTGTTATGTGATAGGGGAGACCTTTTGGGGAAGAAGGTGTCATTAGTTGAGGCAGTTGGGTCTGGGAGCCGTGGGAGGGGTGAGTGGAGGAGGAGACAGAGCTGAGAAGAGCAGCCCGGAGAAGAGCGAGGAGTCTTCTCCAGGCAGAGCTGAGACGGCCTGAGCAGGCTGTGGTGACAGGAGAGGGTCCTGTGGCAAGAGGCCGTGAGTGTCCAGTGAGAGACACAGAATGACTTCGAGGCTTGGGTAAGTGGGAGACAAGTGAGCAGAGACAGGTGGGCTAGGAGGTGGGGATCGCAGCATGAGACTCTGCTGACAAGCCTGGAGGACCTGTTGTGAGAGGCTGGAGGTCAGTCAGACCACAGGCTGAGGCTGGGTTGGAAGAGGGATCTGGGGTTGTCAGCATGAGGTGCAATCACCCCAGAGACACCTGACAAATCCAAGGGTTGGCCTCCTGGAACAGGTGTAAAGACAACAGATACGTAACTTGCTTTGTATTGTTACAATGATGAAGGTCGATTTTGTTGTCAGGTTTCTGTTTCTCATGAGCTATCAGAAAACAGACATCGAGCTTTAACATTTAGTGCTTTGTATCATTTTAACTAGTCATAGTCAGCACAGCCTTAGAGACTGTCCCGTTGGCATGCCCATTATCCCTAGTATTTCCTGTCTATACCTGGACACCTTAGGCCTGTTGCAACTCACACTCACTCTTATATAGATCATCTCAGAAATCACCCGAGACAGTGCACAGTATCATCAACGTTCAATTTGGATGATTTTGGCCAGTGAACTCCTAGTTTCAAAATTCCCTTAGTATCTTGCTTTCTCTCTAAAACTACTCAGAAGTACTTTTAAGAATTTCACCCCATTTATCAATGAGAGCTCAGTAAAACTGGAAGAAAAAGAAACTCACCTCATCTCTAAATGTAATTGGAAAGACTTCACTGTTGATGTTCTAACATTAGAAGTTGAGAATACTCAGAAACTTTGCAGTAGCTCTTCTTTCACAAATGCGTTTTTTTTCCCATTTATTTTTATTAGTTGGAGGCTAATTACTTTACAATATTGTAGTGGTTTTTGCCATACATTGACATGAATCAGCCATGGATTTGCATGTATTCCCCGTCCTGATCCCCACTCCCACCTCCCTCTCCACCCGATCCCTCTGGGTCTTCCAGTGCACCAGCCCTGAGCACTTGTCTCATGCATCCAACCTGGGCTGGTGATCTGTTTCATCCTTGATAATATACATGTTTTGATGCTGTTCTCTCGAAACATCCCACCCTCGCCTTCTCCCACAGGGTCCAAAAGTCTGTTCTGTACATCTGTGTCTCTTTTTCTATTTTGCATATAGGGTTATCGTTACCATCTTTCTAAATTCCATATATATGTGTTAGTATACTGTAATGGTCTTTATCTTTCTGGCTTACTTCGCTCTGTATAATGGGCTCCAGTTTCATCCATCTCATTAGAACTGATTCAAATGAATTCTTTTTAATGGCTGAGTAATATTCCATGGTGTATATGTACCACAGCTTCCTTTTCCACATGTCTGCTGATGGACATCTAGGTTGCTTCCATTTTAATGAACATACTTTATTAATGTGCTACCAGAGGTAAAGATAAAATGGGGCTTGTGTTCTGTATCTCCTGGGTTGGGTCTCATAAATAAAGATGTGAGAAAGGAGCCCTTGCTTATTATAGGATGGCGGGTGAGGGAGTGGGGACGTCGTTTGGATAAAGAAACATGCTTATTACTTGCTT